AGTGCCTTAACTATCGAGTCACATCGCATCCCTACAACAGAGATCATCCTTCGTCGTATACATGAAGCTACTACACCTCTTATGTCTTACGAGTTTAAAACGATTCTAGGAATGTACAAACATGGAGATATGACATAATACACTACGGAGTTTGCCGATGGAGCACAGTATGATCCTTCACCATTAGCATTTGATGTTGCGGATGTACTAAAGGCTTCTAATAAGAAGTTTCGCAAACGCTTACACAAAAATAAAACTGATGCAGAAGCAATTTTACCATCGAATAAGCCTTATTATCGTAAACGTCTTGGTATCGTATAGTCAGCCCTTAGGAGTAGTCTCCTTAATGGTAATGGCTACATCCCTATCCAAAGCATTGTCCTGTTGACGATCATTTTCGGAGACAAGTACCTCGGCTATGGTACGGTTTAACGCATCGGCAGCGGTTGCTTCTGTAGCAGCAGTAGCTGCGGCAGCGCTAGCGGCTTCTCTCTCCATATTCTTACGTTCAGCCTTGCGTTTCTTTGCAGGTGTATAGTCTTTCTTTGTCATAATCTTAACTTATGACTTCAGTGTTTTTCTCTTAAGGAATGACTGGGCTCAGGAAAAAAAATCGTAGTAGTTATCGACCTTTACGTTTAAGTAGTCTAAGTAGTTAATACCTATGCTAACTTTAAAATGTGTAAGATTCGGTCTATCTAGGCGATATTAACGCCTTAGAGTAATTAAACGCGTATGTATAGTCTAAGTATCGTGAAATTCAAAGTAAATAAACGAAATGAGTCTTTTAGTAAAGTTAGGTATGCCTCGTGAAAACAGGAATACTCTGAGGGATTGTGAGGCTGAGACTATATATAATCCTCTCAGTGCTGTTTTCGCCGAAGGGATTTTATTTAGTGTTTCGTTGTCGCTCTATTAGAAACTATGGTATGTTTCGTTCAGGCGAATCCAAGAGACTCATAAAATCATATCTTTAGAAAAAAAAGAATAGAAAAAAATACTCCTGTTGTCCTTAGTTATTGCATTAACCAATAACTTGCCATTTATCAAGAATTACCGACTTAGCCTTCATCAGACTGGCACATCTGGTTGGTTGATCGGAGGATCAACTAGGTAACGTTAATAGTCCCTAGAAACCTATATTCGGTTGAGCCATCTCGCTACCGAAGTATTCAGATATAAATAGATTTGGAAAGTAAATATAGTTCTATTTATAGAACTAGACCATATCTTATGCTTAGTATCTTACTGGGGCCTTTCTAATGGCCTTGTCCAAATATCTGATATGTAAAATGGAAAAGGTATTAATCAATAAAACCGTTAAAACCCATTTAGGAAACTTAAGTTCCTCGTACTATTAAGAGTACGTTTG